AGTTTTATTTCACCTTTCTGAGACTGGCCTGAAAAAGTGCCTCATTTTTATCCATTTCTGCAAAACCTGTGGAACTCCTTGCCGGAGGATGTGGTGAAGACGTGGGCTATGTCTACACTGCAGAGTTTTGGCACAAAAACGGCTGTTTTTGCGCAAAAACGTGCAGAGCGTCCACACTACAAGCGCGTTCTTGTGCAAGAGAAAGTACAGTAAATCGTCAGAAGGCAGGGCTTTTTGTGCAAGAGTGATTTCTCTTTCTATGAGGAATAAGCCTTTTTGCGCAAGAGCTCTTGTGCAAAAAGGCACCTGTGGACAGGCAACAGGGGTTTCTTGTGCGAGAAAGCGCCCACACTACCATGGACGCTCTTGCACAAACGCGCATGGCAGTGTGGACGCACTCCTGAGCAAGAACTTTTTGCGCGAGATCTCTTGCACAAAAAGTTCTTGCGCAAGAAGCCTGCAGTGCAGACATAGCCTAGGACTTTAACAAGATAGACTTTTTCAAGGAGGAAAAGCCGCAGCTGTTCAAATGCCAGCACTGGTCTACCCTTGAGTGCCTACAGTTAATACAGCACCCAGGGGAAATGCGCCAGTGGGGAATTTTAGGAGCAAATGTCTAGTGTAGAAACAGCTTAGGCTGGTCCCAATATCCCTTCTGCTCATTTAATAGTCAGCTCCGTTTCTGACCCTCCCCACAAGCCCGCCTGCTTGAGATCAGCACTTCCCTCCTTGCACTGCGTCCTCCTCTTGCTGCGCTGACTGGCTCGCCCCCAAACTGCAGCCCAAAGCCGCCTGCTTGGCTCAGGGACGGCGTGTCTTTCCAGTGCAGCTGCTGCTGCAGTAACAAGGTGGCTTTGGAGGAGAAAGGCCGAGTACCAAGGCGGCCAAAACTCAGTGCCGCCTCCCTCCATTAACCCCTCTCACAAGCTCTTGGGCTCTGTCTGCCCAGCTTGAAAAGGAGATTTTACAGCATGCTAACCAAGGTGTGTTCAGACCTCCCATCCCACTGTGCGATCCCAGTGGAGACGAGGCACTGCACCTCCGGGAGGGCGCAAGGCCACGCGTTGTCCTACAAAGGAAACACCCCCTTTACCGGTGCCGACACAGCCTTGGTGGCTACCTGCACTGACCCTGACACCTCCACCGTGGGTCAGTCCATTTAAAGGCGGGGTGCGGATGAGTGCAGTGGACCCCAAGGGGCAATTCTGGGTTCAGAGGGTGTGAGAGAACCGGCCCCTTCCGTGGTGTGTTAGGTCTCTCGCTCTCTATTTTAAACTCTCTAGCTGAGCTTTGAGGCATGGGGATGTTTTAAGTCGGGGGTGGGGAACCTTTTTGGGGGTCAGGGGCCACTGACCCACGGAAAAATCAGTCAGGGGCTGCACACAAGTGAGAAACCCCCCCCCCCAAAAAACAAACCAAACAAGCAAACACCCTCAGTGGTCCCTGACTGACACTCTCCTCACACACCAGAGCCTTGGAGGGCCCGAGCTAGTAGATTTGATGTGCTCCAGCCCCATGGGGAATGGCAGGCACTGGAGCGCCAGTATGGGCTCCCCCATGCTTGTGGGGAGCCCCAAACCTCTGGCCAGTCCGTGAGTACACCCCCCGGCCGACGCTGGGCTCTGCCAGTGCAGGCGAGGATACGTACAGGCCGAGTCGGAGAGGGCCGTGTGCGACGAGCGCCGGGAGCTCGGGGAGGATCTGGACACCCCGTCCCCGCCGGTGTCTTGGTTGGCGCCGCATTGCCGGATGTCTATGTAACTGTTGTGACTCTGCAGTGAAGAGAACACAGGCAGCAACAGCTTCAAACGCACGAGCACACAGAGCCCCCTGGCGGCGCGGTCCTGGCGCTTTCCCAGACAGAAAGGGCGTTTGGTTCGGACAGGGCCACGACCGCCACTGAAATACTAATTTTGGGGACTGGAAACAACCCGCAGCTTGCCCGTGGGAGCCCCTGGGACGGCTCCCTCGGGGATGTCTTCGCGGCCCCCTGAGGGGTGACAAACCGGAGCTAGTTTTACAGCTAAAAGCCCCGCTCAGACGGGGCAGCCCAGTCGTCAGCGTGGGCTCGTGAGGGGGATACGTACCCTGGCGTGCCGGGCCGGACTGCAGTGCAACACCCGGGTGGCCCTAAGCGTTAGGCCTGCGGGGTTAAAACAGCGGGCCCACTTGGAGAGGTGACCCTCACCTCGCCGTAAGGATGGGGCTCTTTGCTGGGCACGCCGACTGCCTGTGCATGGCCCAACGCCCCCACGTGCACACACCCTTTCCTGCTGTCACCTCCCCAGCACCCCCACCCGTCTCAGACTTCGGGAGGATGCAGGTTCCAATCAGACGGACCCACCCCAAACTCCCGGAGCCACATGGGCTCCACTGCCACAGCCCCTGGGCTTCTTCCCGGAGACCGGCTCCTACTTACAGCCAACGTCCCCCCGCTGGAAGGGAGGAACCTTTCCCCTTACACCCTTTCCTGCTGTCACCTCCCCAGCACCCCCACCCGTCTCAGACTTCGGGAGGATGCAGGTTCCAATCAGACGGACCCACCCCAAACTCCCGGAGCCACATGGGCTCCACTGCCACAGCCCCTGGGCTTCTTCCCGGAGACCGGCTCCTACTTACAGCCAACGTCCCCCCGCTGGAAGGGAGGAACCTTTCCCCTTTCTGACCCGTCACGCCTCCACCCTCAGCCCCGGCTCCCGTGTGGCGAAGAGGGAAACACCGCACCAGCCCCCTGCCTAGTATTGTGTATGGGTGTGTCTAGACTACAAGCCCCCCGCCACA